CCCTCTGGCAGGTTCAAGCCATTCCCCTTGGCCTGTCCCTCCATCCCTTGTCCAAAGCCCCTCTCCAGGTTTCCTGGAGCCCCTTTAGGCACTGGAGCTGCTCTAAGGTGTCCCCTTCAGGAGCCTTCTCTTCTCCAGCTGCCCCAGCCCAGCTCTCTCAGCCTGGCTCCAGAGCAGAGCTGCTCCAGCCCTCGCAGCAGCTCCGGGGCCTCCTCTGGCCTCACTCCAACAGCTCCATGTCCCTCATGTGCTGTTCCCCAGAGCTGGATTGGGAGTGCACCCAGCACACAAGGGGGTTCTGGGCTCAAGCACACACTGAAGCTGGATCATGGGGAGCTTCTTGTTAGTGTGTTGGAAGAGGGAGATGGGGCAAAAAGATCTTCTCCACATAAAGGTTGTGCTGCTGCTCTCAGGGTTCCAGCTGCTCCTAAGGGAAGCGGGCGTAAGATGTGTTCCTTCTCTTCAAGCAGGACTTGTCCAGCAGCCCCACTTCAAGCCCCAAGACCAAAGTGGCTGCATTGTCCTCCCTGCAGAAGCCCAGCCAGATCGGCCCCACGCAGCTGCTGAAGAGGCACGTGCCGAGGCCGGACACTGTCCTCGCCCACAAGCAGGCCCAAGGTAATGCCCTGCAGCTTCCCCACCCTCTTCCCTCTCAGCAGCCTGAATTTGGGTCTTTCTCTGTTGTGACGTGTGGAGATTCGTGTCTTCTGAGTCCTGTCTTGAATTCCAAGCTCCCTGTGGCAGCGTTCCCTGCAGCTCGGTCCCTGTCACTGTCATCTGATGGCAGCAGCCTGTGGAGGGTTGAAATTAGGTTGGAAATAGTGTTTTGGCAGAGAGGTTTTCACTTCCTCTAGCTGACCAAGTGAGCACGTAGCCACGCTCTTGAATTCTTCAAGTGTGAGCCCCTTGAGTGGTGTCTTATCCTTGAAGGCTGCTTGGGAGGGAGAATAAAGGTATTCAGGAGATGGTCGAGGCTGAACTGTGACTGGAACAGAGGGGGTTGAGTCACTGCAGAGTCATCTTGCATCAAATGCTCAGTGTCAGAAACCAGCTTCAGCCCCGGGGGGGTTTGTCCTGTTAGATGCTGATTACAAACCTCTGCAGCTTCAGCCCAGTGGTGAGCACTGAGTGCAGGTCATGGTGGTGCTGATCCCTTGTGGTCCATGTCAGCAGCATACTGAGGAGTAGTTCTCCATCCTCCCTTCTCTCCTTATTTCTCTGCTCAAGACAGACCTGAGTGGGCTGATTGTTGTCTCCTGCAGCAGTGTTACCCTCCACATTCCCTAAAGTCTTTCTCTGACTCCAGGGGGAAGTTGAACCTTGGATCTCCCTTAATTTCTGAGACCACAGACGAAAAGAATCTAATTCCTTTGTGGTTGTAGCTGAGGAAGTTTCCAGCACATGGGAGGAGGGGCTGTGCAGTGGGATGTGTTGTGGCTGCCTTGTTTTGCCAGGAGCCCTGGGCCAGGGTGGCCTCTGGCCTGTATTTGGTGGCTGTAGCTCTTCAGGAAGGCGCTGGCTGGTGTCTCCCACCTTCTTGGTGCCACTGCTTGGCCATGCTCGCTGTGCCTCT